CACCATCTAGTTCTTCTAAAGACCAGTGTATTTTTGATGTCACAAAATCATGCATGCATAAAAGTTCCAGTCAAATGTAAGGGATTACAAAAAGTTAATTGCTAATGGTTTCAGATTGCACATTGCAACTGATCTTTAAGAAACTACCACTTCGTTGTGTTTGATATTCTATCAAAGAATAGCCAGAGTTACCTGTAAAGCCTATTAAAAATACTCCTGTCTTAGAAGATATTAGTGGAAAGGTATGAAGATGTCTATAAAAGAGTAGTACAAACGATCTGTGTGATGAACTGTTCTGTATACTGGCAGTGGTGAGGGTCCCATGAATCTGTACATTTGATAAAATTGCCCAGAACTAAGTACATACATATATAAAACTAGTGAAATCTGATTAATGTTTGTAGATTTTACCAATGTCAATTTCCTGGTTATGTTATACTGTAGTTATACAAGATGTTGCCATTAGGGAAAACTAGGTAAAGGGTATACAGGATCTCTCTGTTATTTCTTACAACTGCATGCAAATCTACAATTTTTTCCAAATAGATAGATAGTTCAAAAAACACTATCTCTTTGTTCAACTACATCTCTGTGTAAGGCTTCAACCAATACAATGTATTGCAATAGGTTGAATACAGAAACAGTTAAAATAATGCAGCTGTCTTTTATCTAAAGGAGCTCTGATGGTGTAGTGGTTTAAACATTTGACAGCTAACCATAAAGATCAGTGGTTCAAACCCACCAGCCACGCACAGAAGAAAGATGAGTCAATCTGCTTCTATAAAGATTTACAGCCTTGGTAACCCAATGGGGTTGTTAGGAGTTGGAATTGACTGATTAGACAATCTACTTCTATAGAGGAGGAGTCAGCTGCAAGGATCCAGGTAAGGGTGGTTGGAGGGGTCCAACAGCTAAGGGAGACAAACTTGTCTGTTGGTTTGTCCTACTGTGGTGACGTGTTGCTATGAGACTTGAGGCTGTGCCACTGGTGTTTCAAAGCCAGTGGGGTGCACATGGTGCATAGGTATCAGCCCAGCTTGCAGACTGAGACAGACTAGGAAGAAGGAGGAGGCCATCCACTTCTCAAAGAATTGGCCAGGGAAA